GGATTCTGGGAATTGTCATTTGTTGTGGCGCTAGAGATTTTTGACAGGGAAGGCTAAATTACTCATGAAACTACAAATCCCTGAATTCGAGAGCATTGAGCCATGAGAGTTAAGTTTTCACTTCAGAAGAGGTGTGTGATGCTGTATTGATAGCACAGTTATTAAGTGCTTTTTAAAGTGATCACAGCATATGCTCTTAAAATATTCAGTATTTTTGCAAATTGAACTTTGAAGTAATCCTTGCCCCTAGAATGAAAATATATGCTATCTTTTACATCTGAAGAGGAATCTAGCCTGTCCAACAAATTTCATCACAAGCACCCAAAACCAACCCATATTTTTCTTTCAAGGCTGTGTTCCTTCCCAATAGTAAAAGAATGAATGTTTGATCCATCCGAAAAAGCTGGAATCACAATTACACATTATGCAAGCAGCTAAGACCAATTCAAGCACCAAGGTGGGGAAGTCAAAAGGTGGCATCTCTGTAAGAACACAATCTCTTGCATCATTTTAATTATTTCAGTATTTAGGTAAGTTATTTATTTGTAACTGCTTATAATCATTGTTGGATTATAATCACCGCTTTGCCTTTGAACATGTACTTGAAAAGGAAAAGGAAATTTAGCTTTATGGTATTTCAAAAACATCCTAAAAGTGAGCACGGCAAGGCACCTCAAAGGTATAAAGGACTGAAAAATTGGCTCTGTTCCCTTAGTACAAAAATTCATCATCACTAAGAAGATTAACATTGTCATAGTTGCAGTGAACATGTACAGAGCCATTGTGCATGAGAAAGTGGGATGGGGTTTGTTCTCTGTTTTGCCATAGGGCTGGTGGGGGTATCATCTCTTCTAGGGTCTTCCAAAGAGGTAGATGGTACAGATGAGGTGCACTTTAGTTACTTCATTACATGACCAATTAAATTTAAAGCTTGTTTCCTGGACTGAATATCCAAGTACCCTCATGGCCAGAAGGAGAATGGACCTGCCTGAGTTAAATCCCTTCCATACCATCTGAAGGACAACCACCACAACATCTTGACCAAATGTAGGGCTATGACTAACATTGTTCTTTCTTTCTTTCTTTCTTTCTTCTCCTATATGATTTCTTTGCCAGATGAAGAACCCAGATGTAATGTGCATTTGGGTTGGCCCAATAAAGCTATCACTATTTTGTGCATTTTGGATGATATTGTGCTTTGCGCCACCCCAAGGGCAAACATCATGGCCAACACAGCTACCTCTGGATAAATTATCAATCAAGTCGATAAAGTACTCAAACTGAGTAGAGAAGTGATGCATATGAGACCATCCAAACATGTACCATCCCCTTGACATCAATGGTCAGTCCCAGGAAGCATGGGAAGAACCACAAGGTCATCATGTTGAAGCTTCTGTCTGCCAGAGAAGACCACTTATCACCTAAGCTTCATTTTTTTTTTACTCTTCTATAAACAATTATGAGCAGATAAAATCATTCCTTCTATAGAAAACAGAGAGGGGCAAGCAAGCAACAAATTCTAAGTATCTCCTTCCTTTCCACCCACCCCACAACAAAAATAGAAAGAAAATTACATAAACTGAATCCCAGCCCAGAACAATTGGGGCATGTTCATCCTCCCTGTCCTACCTTGAGAGGGGATCTAAGGTGCTCCCATGCTATGTCCAAACATGTGCATCTTGTCCTGCAAGGTGTCCTGAATGCATCTGATATCACAGAGGAGACCTCCAGGCAGCCCCTTTCTCCCAACTCCACCTTTTGCATGCCATCTCTTTCCAGTTTATCTAGACCTGGCGGAATGTCATTGGTGGAGATTGTTCCTCCTTTGGCTCTCCAATGCTTATTATAAATTGGCCTTCTCTTCTTTCTTTTGTCATTGTCCCATCCCAAGGGCAAACATCATGGGCCTTTCCATCCCCACAACCACATCCTCTGAGTCTCCATTTGATAACAGCCAAGGATGGCCAACAAATGGTCAGAGGACTTTTTCTATAATCTGGCTATCAAGTTATTGTTATGGAAAGTTGTCAGCCATCAGAGGTGCAAAAGACTTGGAGAAAAGCCATTTTGCTTCTCACAAAAGAGAGGAGATGGCTTTTCAAAACATGTTGAGCAGTATTAACCTACCTTCTCAAGCAGCAGTTTTATACCTGCATTAACTTCACCTCCTCATGTTAACATCAGCATTTGGAATCCAGTACCAAAATCTCTGGATTTTGGCTCAAAGTCCCATTAAATACGATGGTGTAGTAAAGTGGTGGCCCTGATATAAAATGACAAAATCAAGATTTGCTTTTTGGAATATATATATTCCTTGTCTACAGATTCCTTGTCCAAAAATTCAACTATCCACGGCTTGCAAAGGCAGGCTTACTGTTGAACATAAAGAAAACAAAAATAATGACCACAAAGAACTTACACACATTCAAACTAGACAATGAGGAAATAAAAATAGTAAAAGAGTTCTCCTATCTGGGATCAAGCATTGATCAGAAAGGGGACTGCAGCCAGGAAGCCAAGGTTTCTTAACCAAACTTCCCTGGAACCCTAGGATTCTATGAGAGATTGTAAATTTTTTAAACATTTTTTTAAGCTGTAGATGTAATAATTTTTATGCAGGGGTTCAGTGAGATCTGAAAATTATTTCTAGGGTGGCTCCAGGGTAAAAAGGTTGGGAAATGCTGCATTATACATTATAACTGTCCTTCTTTGGAGGCATTTAAAGACAGGTTGGAAGACAGTCTTCCAGGGATGCTTTAGCTGTGGATTCTGGAGCTGGCAAGGTTTAAGCTAGATGACCTCTAGATGCATTCCAACTCTGCAAATCTAATTTCTCCACAAACATGAACTTCTATATGGTCACTGGGGTACCAGGCCACTTCACTTGCAGAAAATCCCTCATCTAAAGTCCATTTTAAAAAAAAGATTTTGTGTGTGTGTGTGTGTGTGTGTGTGTACCTTCAAATAACCTGTCAATTTATGGCAATCCCACTAATTTCATAGGATTTTCTAACTGACACACCATTAAATTCTCCCAAAAAGCACAGATACTGTTTGCAATTCCAGGGGACATTTCAGGATTTGGAGGGAGGGAAAACAATATAACACAACATCGTGTGGTGGTTTGAGCATTGGACTATGACTCTGGAGAGCAGAGTTTGAATCCCCACTCAGACATGGAAACCCACTGGGTGATCATGGACAAGTCACACTCTCTCAGCCTCAGAGGATGGCAGTGGCAAACTTCTGAAGAAACTTGCCAAGAAAACCCTGTGATAAGGTTGCCATAAGTCTGAAGGAATTGAAGGCTCACAACAATAAAAACAATAATCTCCTACTTAATCACAATTAAAAGGGGATGGGGGAGGATGAGCAACACCTTTCAAATGCTAGATAGAGTGATTGTTCACCAAAATCACTGAAAGCTGGACCTCAAGTACATAACCTCAACTCAACAGTTCCATTTCCTGTGCCAATGGAACAGGAATTAAAATGCTATAAACCAGTGGTTCTCAAACTTTGGTCCTCCAGAGGCTTTGGATTTCAGCTCCCAGAATTCCTGACTATTGCCCAAGTTGGCAGGAACTTCTGGGAGTTGAAATCCAAAACATCTGAAGGGAGATCAAAGTTTGGGAACCACTGCTATAAACTCTTGAGTTACAAAGTATTTTGATTCCTTTGCCTCAAAATCCAAAACAATTCACAGGATTCAATGGAGCTTACTCCCATAAAGCGATTGTTGACAGAGAGGCGGGGTACAAATAATCATCATCATCATCATCATCGGATTTACAGCTCTCGGTGAACAACAAGTGCCTAGATCTGCAACAGTTAATCTGTGTGTTTTAATTTTTAACCAGATTTTGGGCATGGGATTAATTTTGAATGCAAGAACCCCATTCTTTGACTTTGTTGTTATTATTAACTGCCTTCGAGTCAATCTCAAACCATGGCAACCCTCTGGATGAGACATCTCCAAGACCCTCTGTCCTCCACTGCTCTGCTTAATTCTTGCAACCCTTTCATACTCATGGCCTCCTTAATAGAGTCCATCCATCTGACATGTGGCCTTCCTCTCTTCCTACTTCCTTCCATCTTCACCAGCATTATTGCTTTTCCCAAAGAGTCCTCTCTTCTATTGATGTGTCCAAAGTCCGACAGTCTCAGTTTGGTCATCTTGGCTTCCAGGGAGGTTTCTGGTTTGATCTGTTCCAGGACCCATTTGTTTGGTTTTTTTGGCTGTCCAACACTCTTCTCCAGCACCACATCTCAAATGAACTGATTTTCTTCCT